GAGTCAGGGTTCTCTGCTGAGAAGAAGGGGAAGGGGGTCATGTAGGTAAGCTTACAAAAAAAGAGAAGGTCTGGAGCAAATACTTTGGAAAAGTCAATCGGGTTCAAAACTGATAGGTATTCGGACCAAGAAATAATCAGGGAAGAGTGAAAAGGGCCGGTGAGTAACACCAGCGGAGTTGATAACATCCATCCGGGGTGGACTTGGACAGTCCAGATGTGTGACGTCCTCCAAAGGCATTCCACATAAGGTGACTAGACCTGCAAAAGGAAGATGGGGGAAGAAGTCAGGAAGGAGTAACAACAGAGAAAGGTAGCGAGGGAAGAGCAGAGTATAACGGTGAAATGGTTAAGCTACAGGGAGGAAAAGGAGACCGGAGCAGCGGTAACTGTCTGGGGGAACAAGGAGGGATAGAATGACAAGGTCATGATGAAAATGGACAAGAGGTTTAAGAGGGGGTAAGTGGCTTAGCAAGTGTGGAGCATGAAATGTAACATGAGATTGTTTCAATGTCTTGATTGCTGTTGCTGATTTTTCCCCCTTACCTTTCTTTTCTTTCTTTCTTTATTTTTTCCTTCGAGACAATCAGGCCAAGTGACTTGCCCAGGGTCACACAGCTAGTGTCTGAGGCCAGATTTGAACTCAGGTCCTCCTGACTCCAGGGCCAGTGCTTTATTCACTGCACCACCTAGCTGCCCTTTTTCCTTTTCAAAAAATTCTTTGTTATAAAAGATGGTTCTCTGGAAGCAGCAACAGGAGGGGTATAAAGGGAAATCTAGGCAATGTAAAAATAATGATATCCAAAAAAAAAAAATCTATCTTTTAAAAATAAAAAAAATAATTTTTTAAATTTAAAAATAAACATTTTTTTAAAATAATTTTAAAAATAAAAATAAATTTTTGAAGTCCAGGCTGCATCACTTTTGTGCTTATCTTCCCAGAGCTAAGCATGATACTTGGCACATAGGAAGCATACATGCTTTTTTTCATTCATTCTTTAAAAGGGGAGAGGGGAGATCTCTAATGTGCAGTCCAGCTCTAAAATTGTGATCCCATAAGACTTCTCTTATGGGCAAGAGGTTAAAATTAGATAGAGGAATTTTAGTTATGGAATGTACAGACAGAACACTTATAGGTAATGATGAGATCAGAGGAAGAGCCATTCTCACACGTGGTTGGGTTGAACACAATCTTAAACAAGAGTACAAAGGCTTGTTCCCAAAACATGGTCAGATCTCCCCTATCCTAAGAAAACCTTTTCTTGGCCCTGCCACCCACTCGAGCTTTAGTTGAAAATCCAATAGCTTTTTCTCAGACCTTACTCTTCTTGCATTTTCTTCAGCATCTGACACTGCTGACTGTTGCCCTCCATTTTCACAATTTCCCATCTTTGGTTTCCATGACGTTCTTCAACCAGTCAACAACCATTTATGAAGTATCCACTTTATGCCGAACATGAAGCAGGTAAAGACAAAAGGGACACAGTTTCTACTTTCAAGGGGGTTTACTTTCTAACAGGGGAGACCGCATGTAAATACATTATAAATGTGTGTATGTATATAGATATATGTGTATATATACATATGTGTGTGTCCACATATATGCATATGGGTGTTACCATGGATAGAACACCAGCCCAGGAGTCAGGAGGACCCAAGTTCAAATCTAGCCTCAGACACTTCCTAGCTATGTGACCCTGGGCAAGTCACTTAACCATATTTGCCTCAGTTTTCTCATCTGTAGAATGAAATGGAGAAGGAAATAGCAAACCACTCCAATATCTTTGCCAAGAAAACCCCAAAAAGGGGCAGCTAGATGGCGCAGTGGATAGAGTGCCAGCTCTGGAGTCAGGAGGATCTGGCCTCGGACACTTGACACTTACTAGCTGTGTGACCCCGGTCAAGTCACTTAACCCCGTTGTCTAGAGGAAAAAAAAAAGAGAAACCCCAAATGGGGTCATAGAGAGTTGGATACAACTGAAATGATTCAACAACAAATGTATAAATATACACGGGTGTGTGTTATGTGTGTATATATATATATGTACATATATACACATATATCATATACACAATTATATAAATATACATGTATATGTACCTAGATATACACACATTTATATAAATGTGTGTATATATACACACACACACACACACACACAGAGTAGATTAGATATAAGGCAATCTTGGAGGAAAAGAGATCAGCAGATAGGAGGACCACTAGCTGCTACTTTCTAATTCTCTCCCTGCTTGACAATTCTTTCTTGGTCTCTTCATTCATTCAATGCTGATTCCAAAAATATGTATTACCTTTCTGGGTATAGAAAATTCTTCTAGGACCTGAGTTCAGATCGGAACCCACACCCCTGCCTTTGTGGAGGCAGGAGCATGGGAATCTAGGAATCATCTTAATCAAGATGATAATTGAATCCATGGTAGTTAATGACATCAAGTGAGACATTTTAGAGGGAGACTCCAGGAAGGCCCAGAAAAGCACACTGTAAACCCTGAAGAGGCACATAGGAAATTTTATCAGTAAATTTTTGTTTTTTGTTTTTGCCAGATTTGTGATGGTAACTTTCTAAGAAGCTCCTTGTGAGGACGCCTCTCTACTAATTCAGGTCAGCTCTCCTGTCTTAGACATCTCTTTGAGAGGTGAAGGAACTTGCCCAGGGTCACACAGCCAGTATGTGCCAGAGATGAGACTTGGACCTAGCTCTGCCAGACTAAAGCCTGCTCACAATCCAGTCCCCTATTTCGGCCTCTTGACATCACATACAAGAAAATATAAATAAGTTACAGGGCCTTAGACAAGTTGCCTGACCTCTCCAGGCCTCAGCATCCTCATTTGTAAGAAGAGATGACTTTATTATTCTCAGTAATACAATGATCCAAGACAATTTTGATATCATATCTTATGATAAAAAATGCTATTCATCTCCAAAGAAAGAACTGATGGAGTCTGAATGCAGATTGAAGCATACTTTTTTTTTTACTTTATTTTTCTTTGGGTTTTTGGTCTGTTTTCTTTCACAATATGACTAACATGGAAATGTTTTACATGACTACTTGTTTATAACCTGTATCAAGCTGCTTGCCTTCTCAATGAGGGGGAGGAGATGGAAGAGAGAATGTTAATTGTTTTTACATGTAATTGGGGGGGGAAGGGGGAAAGGGGGTTGGCCAAGTCAGATGACCTATGAGATTTCTTCTGAATCCAGAATTCTAAATTCAGTTCCTTGGCCTTGACATTGGCCTGGCTGCTGAACCACTAGGGCTTCCAGGTTCTTCTACCCCCTCTGCCACTAAATCCTTACATATACTATGCTTTTTTAGATTAGATTAGAGTATAGCCTCCTTGAGAGCAGTGCCTATCTTCTCTTTCTATTTGTATTCCTAGCACAAAGTATAGGATGTGGCACATAAAAAACACTGGTAAATGTTTTTCCATTTATCATTCATTTCACGACCTTAACTACAAGGAATCGTGTGTCCTTACCCTGCCATCCAAGGAGCTCTTTCATTTGCCCATTCTTTCCAACCTGACCTCCATGACTGCCCACCCTGAAGTGAGCCAGCTCTAACACCAAGCTGGGTCTCTATGTCCACATCACTCATTTCTGGCTTTGTTTTATGTCCCCTGCACCCTCCCCAAAGCTGCCTTATCTACACCTTCCTTTCATGTACATCGAGGTCTATTGTGATTTTGTAGAAAGAACACTGGCCTTGAAGCCATGACAGCTGGGTTCAAATATTGTCTCCAATACTTACTAGCTGAAGACAAGCCCCTTGACCTTTCCAAACTTCCTCAGATTCCTCATCCATAAAATGGGCATTAACAGTCTGCCTCACAAGACTGCTAGGAAGTATTCTGTCAACCTTCAAGTGCTATACAGAGATGTACTGCTATTAAGTGTCATCTCAGGGAAGCCTTTCCTGACTACTCCAGCCTAGAATGCCCTGAAGTCTTACCATCCTCATATTCTTCTGAACTCCACTCCTTGAAACTTAATCATGCATCCCTCATCAATATCACCAACCTCCATTTATGTAGTTCCTGAAGGGTGATAAAGAGCTTTTCTTACAATATCCTTGTGAGATAAAGTCTTGTGAGATTTAAATGAGTGAGTGTTTGGTTTCTCCAAAATACATGGAATCTCCTTGAGGGCAGACCCCACCTCTTCTGTTTACCAGGCTGAACTAGAAGAGGGCCCCAAACCCAATTAGTGTACAATAAAATGATGAAAAAATGAAAAGTATAGACAGTCTTCTACAGGAATGATCTGGCTTAGTGGTTCCAACCTATATTTTTCCACATCACACTAAAATAACTCTGCAAACTACAACTTAACTCTGCCAATGTGAAAATTTGGCTTTAGCCTCACATAACTCATTCGTTCCTCCATTTATGAAAAGGAAATGGTAATAAACAGATGAAAACCAAGCTTGAAAGTGATATACAAATTCAACCATGTGACTCAGCAGTCATGCATCTGTCATCAATGCCTGTGGACAGGTGAATTACCAATTGGAAGGACATCACACAGGTAGCAATCCAAAGTCAGCTGTCAAAGGTGAACGTAGCTTTAAATAGCCTCTTGGGGATATGATTGAGTCAAGACAGCTGCTCTCAGAGGAGAAACAAAAGTTTGAAAAATAAATTTTTTCCAAAAACAAAATGTCAAAAATAGTTTACAAAAACAGACTAAACTAACACACATGAGTTCCAAGGCTATTAGTAATAAAAAAAAAAAACAACAAACCTTTAAGTGTTCCCCAGCTAGCACTAAAGACAAATCAGAATTTCAAAATTCATCTCAGTAGCCTGACCATGATAGAAATGAGAAGGCATTTGGGGCAGCAGTGCTTTAGAAAGGCATAAGAAAGAGTACACTCCAGAAGATGTTGAAACATGTACACTTATTCCAGAGCTCCGCTAAGCAGCTGGTACCTGAAGCTACTGGAACTATTTCCACTCTAACCCCCTGGTAGTCTACTGACCTGTTTATTGATTTCTGCCATAGACAGCTGCAAAGCCTCGAGCATAAAATCAGCACCACACACAGTAGTCCTCTCAGAAGGACAAAGGCTGTGCCAATTTCTTCTCAAGCTTTTGATCATATCCAAGACAGCTTCAGAAAGTGGAGCCATTTTCCTAAATGGAAAAAAGGAACTGTGTTAATTAAGTTACTTAAGTTTATTTGTTAATAGCACATAGTGCATGGAAACAGGAATAGCTGGGACACAGAAGACAGAGGTGAAATCAGAGACTCCTTCCCATTCACCAGTCTTGGTTTTCATTTAATTCAAGGGGGAAAAGTTTGAAGGAGGGAGGAGAGGAAGGTGACAAATAGGAATAATTCCCACCCAATCAAATTTTGTCTCCTTTAGTTGACTTGAGACAAATCTTTCAGAAATAACAATGTAGCAGTATGACTGAAAACAGGTACAAGACACATACTAGGCATAGAGAACACAATTTTCAGACAAATAAAAAGAATTGTGCCAAGTCACAAGTCACTGAATTTTCCTGGGCTCCAATTGCTTCATCTGTGAAATGAGGAAGTTAGGCTAGGATGGTCTCTGAGGTCCCTGCCAGCTCTGGGCTGTGATTCTTTGAAGCCTACAGATTTGGTGTAAATAAAACAGCTTCACCAGCTGCTGGGTGTCCAAGTGGCTAGAGTCATTTTCCTGAGTTCAAATGTGGTCTCAGACACTTACTCGCTGTGTGACGCTGGGCAAGTCGCTTAACTTTGCCTCCATTTCCTCTTTGTAAAATGAGCTGGAGAAGGAAATGGCAAGCCACTCTACTATCTTTGATAAGAAAACCCCAGAGTCACGAAAAGTCATACATGACTGAAAAAATCACTGAACAACAAAATATTTTCACAAGGCCTCTGCCAATATTCCCAAAATACAATACTACAACTTTCCTGATTCCGGTGCCCAAGAAGGCAGAGACCAGTGGTGTCAGACTCAAATGGAAACCTGCCCTCAGCAGGTTTGACGAAGAAAACCACAAATAAACATCGTCTATGTTGTACTGAATTTTTATTTATTTTGTTAAACATCTCCCAATTAATTCTAATCTGGTTGCCTTGGAATTTTACAAGGCCACAATTCTGAAGCCTCCAGCAAAACAAAACAAAAAAAAAAAAGCAATCCTATTCAGAAACATTTCCCCTCCTTTCCTTTCCTGTTCTCTCTCATGCTGGCATCTGTAATGAGCTTCTACTAGAAAGAATATCAGCAGGAACAGGACAAATCACTTACTTACTCTGGCTCACTTTCTACCAGTATCTACCAGATCTGATGCCAAGGACTGTTGGAAGAATCAGTTGAGATTAAAGTTGTTGGAAGAATCCCTGTGGTGCAAAAGTCCTTTGTATAACACTTTCAATATAGTGAGGCAATCCTTTTATTCTTCCCTAAGTGATTCCCTAGCGAACTCCCCACAAATTCTTTTTCCAACTATATTACAGAGGAAATGTGCATATGAATTAGAGATAAGTCATGGTCTCTGATCTTAAGAATGAATATGATCTGGGTCACAAAACATACACAGCCAAAAACTGAACGCATGTGCAACATTTACAAAAAATCAAAATCAAAATCTCACTTAAGGAAGCAAGTATACAAACATCGTGCAGGAAGAAATATGCAGGTCAGTTTGGTATAAGGTCAGTGCCTTCTTTAACTACTGAAATGGAGCTTTTGCATCGTCTGCCCCCCTCCTCCCAGGAAGGGGTGTTCCTCCCATCATGCCTTCCATCATTACCCCCATCAGAATCCTTCCTTTCCTTTAAGAATCAGTTCAAACTCTGTCTTCTACAAGGAGACCCCAGATCTTAGTGCCTTGTCCCTAAAACCGTCTTCTTTTGTGAGAGTGTATGATGTCTTCCACCTCCTTCTTCTCCCATTGGAAGGAACCATCTCATTCTTGAGTTTATATGTCAGTACTTGGCACAGAGTAGGTACTTAATAAATGCTTGCTGATTGATTCCTTGATTCTGACATTTCCCTTTTTATAGTACCAGCATAGTGGAAGGTCAATTGGAATTGAAGTCAGAAGACCCTGCCTCTAGAGTCTTGCCTTTGTCACTTAACTGGACCTGCTATTTATTATCAGGGAAAGCCTGAACCTGTTTCTGCATCTCTAAAATGGGAATATTTTCACTGCCTCCTTCACAGTAAATCATGTGTATTAAAGTGTTTCGTAAAAGAACATGGTAAAGTACACCCTCCAACTATTATTACTGTTCAGCACGTGGGCCAAGGTCCCAACTAACAGCAATAATGACAAGTACATTTATATAAAGCTTTTAGGTTTGCAAAGTCCTCTCATCACCACGTCCTTACAAGGTCTGAAGCCATGGCTAATTCAACAAGTTGGAAGCGATGTGTCCCTCTGAGTTTCCCATAGTATACCAAGTCTCTCCTTTGGCCCAACATGCTCTACTTTGTATTTGGGTACATATAACAGCATCTTGAGAGTCAAAGGCATTCATGGAGGAAAAGCATCTCTAGTATAACATACTTAAGAAGGAGTCATCCAGCTGCTGCTTGGAAATCTCTAAAGACAGGGAACTCACTAATGATAGAAGTAATGCTAATAGCATTTATGGAACACTTTAAGGTTTGCAAAATGCCTTATATTTTTTCTCATTTGAAGCTCACAAATGAGATGTGTGAATCCTATGAGGTATGTGCAATTGTTTTCCCACACTATACACCTAAAAATTGAGGCTGAAATAGGTTAGGTAATTTGCCCAGGGTCACATGGTAAATAACTGAAGCAAGATTTAAACTCAGGCCTTGCTGACTCAAGTTCCATACAGTTAGTAGCTCGAGGGGCAGCTGGGTGGTATAGAGTGGATAGAGCACCAGCCCTGGAGTCAGGAGGACATGAGTTCAAACCCAGCCTCAGACACTTACTAGCTGTGTGACACTGGGTAAGTCACTTAAGCCTGTTTGCCTCAATTTCCTCATCTGTAAAACGAGTTGGAGAAGGAAACGGCAAACCACTTCAGGATCTCTGCCAAGAAAACCCCAAATAGAGTCACAAAGAGTTGGACACAACTAAACAACAAAAACTGTAGCTTGTATGTCACTTACTGGCAGGGATTATTGCCTTCTCCTATGTTTGTATCTCTAGGGTATAAAAAGTATCCTTGTTGTGATAAAAAGTATCTTTTGCAGAGTAGATACTTTTAAAACTATGTTGAAAAGAGGTTGCTAATGTTTTGGTTTTGGACTAGATCTGTGATTTCATTGGCATAAGGAACTCTAAGGCAAAGAAACTAGTTACTAGACAAAGGTGAACACCTTCCATGCAAATTAATCTTAAGAGTGTGACCTAGAGCAGAGATGTCAAACACACAAAGGTTTTATGTGCCTCCCAATACTCCTGAATATGGCCCAAACTAGAATAAAATATAAGTGGGAAATACATCATAGATAACAATGTAATACAATTATTATATAATATGTAACATAATAATTATTAAGAAATACTTAAGAAAAAAATTTAAATGCAATAAAACATAGGTAATACTACATTTTAAAACTCAATCAATACACTGCCTGCAGGGATCCTTACATATGGATTAGTGGCCCCTGCTTCTGAGTTTGACACCATTGGCCTAGAATACTAACAGGTTAAGTGAACCACCCAGGGTCACACAGTGTATGTCAAAGGACTTGGACCCAGGTTTTCCTGACACCACCATCCTGCCTTCCTTCTGTACATTTTTGGACCCAACTTGTTTTTTCATTGATACAGGCAGGACGTAGTGCTGAAGCCAGCTCAGACCAACTAGTGAGAGTCGTTTGTTAAATTTTCAGTGTGAACATTTACACCTCTAAAACACTACCAAGCAGGCCTTGGTTTACTGTTTTATTAAGAAAGTGAGAGAGAAAATACTAATAATGCAGATTCAGCTTAACAGTGTGTCTGAAGCAGCTGGTCCCGGAGCCAAGTAAGACCTGAGTTCACATCCAGCCTTAGACTCTTCCTAGCTGTGTGACCTTGGGCAAAGTCATTTAACCTCTGCCTGCCTTAGTTTGCTCAACTGTGATATGGGGATAATAGCATCTACTTTGTAGTTAAAAGCATTTAGCACAGTGCCTGGCACACAGTCCCTACCTCCAGTATATATTTTTTCCTACAGAGAGCTGGTTATTAATGCAGATCAGCAAGTATTCTGCAACTTGCCTAGGGGCGCTGACTTGCCCAAGATCACTGGGACTGTATCAAGAGATAGACTGGCTCTTTATCCCACATACCAAGCTGATGCTGATGGTATCAGTGGTAGCAGCAGCAGCAGCAGCAGTGGCTTTTCCAGCCCTTAGGACAGTGCCTGGCATATAACAGGAGCTTAATAAATGTTCATTGAAATGAACTGAATTGCCACCTGAGGTCACAAAGGCAGTAGCTGGCAGGGGGCAAGGATTAGACCTGGGATTTCACTGGAATAGAGGGGATTCCCCAGTGAGGAAACGTATTCTACTGATGCAGATTTGCATCTTTCTCTGCAACTGAGAAGTCGGGCGACTTGGGCACCATGCCCTCCTCTCCCCCACTGCTAGTATGTGAGCTCGGCCAGGAGTCAGGAGGACCTGAGTGCAAATCCAGCCTCAGGAGCTTACTAGCTGTGTGACCCTAGGCAAGTCACTCAACCTCTGTGGCCTCAGTGTCCTCATCTGTAAAATGAGCTGGAGAAGGAAATGGCAAACCACTCCAGTATCTCTGCCAAGAAAACCCCAAATGGGGTCACAACAATGATCATCATTATTATTATTATTATTATTATTAAATCCCACCTCGGACACCCCCTGGCTGGGCTCTGCCTCAGTTTCCCCATCTGTAAAATGAGGATGATAACGATATCCCCCAGGACTGTGGTGGGTCGCTGGGCCGAATGTAAAGCGCCTGTCATTTTACCGGCGAGGAAACTGAGGCCCCCGACTTGCCCAAGGTCACTGGGCAGAGCCAGTGACAGAGGCAGGATTTGAACCCGGGTTTTCGGAGTTCGGCGCCAGGTCCCTCGGCCTCCTCTCCTCCCTGCTGGCCTCACCTGACCAGACCCCCCGCTGGGCCCGCTGGCCGCTCGCGCTGCCTCGGCGACGCCTGCCGCGGCTCCCAGAGATTTAAACTCCGGCTCCGCGAGCGGTTGGAGACCGCGGGCCAATCAGCGGCGGCGCCCTCTGACCCGGAAGCGCTAGCGCCCGAGCTCGCCGGGAGCTGGGCCGGACTGCGCATGCGCTCGCGGAGGAGACGGTGGGGGCCGGTCTCGCGTTTCTCCCGGTGTGGTGTCCGCCGGGCCGGGGCAGCCGGAGCAGTCGCATTGTCCTCCCTCCTCTTCTCCCTCTCTGCCTCCTCCTCACTGGACCGCCCCGGGAAGTAGGTGCCCTTATCATCCCCATTTGGCAGGTGAGGAAACTGAGGCCAAGAGGAGGGCGGGGGCGGCGGCGGCGCCTCCCCAGCCCACCTCGTTCTGCCCTCCTAGGACTCGGATGGAGGTGGGGGCCCCTGGCGTCCAAATTCGGGGGTCTTGACCCCCACCCACAATAATAATTACTATCATAGCCAGTTATATATAATATATAATTGTTATGTGTTAATATTGTATGTGATCATATATGCATGTATTTATATTTATATAAATATACTAACATTTATATAAATACATTTATATTACATGTTTATATATAATTGTGCCAGTTGTCTATATATTACATATATACAAATATAGTGCTTTAAGGTTTGCAAAGCACTTTAAAAATATTCTCTCATTTGACCCTCACAACAACCTTGGGAGGCAGGTGCTATGATTATCTTCATTTTACCGATGAGGAAACTGAGGCAAACAAAAGGTCGACTTGACTTACCCCTAGTCACACAGCTAGTAAGTGACTAAGGCTGGATTTGAACCCAGACACTCTAAACCACTGTGCCACCTGGCTGCCTATAGGATCCTGGAACTACAGCAGAAGGGGCCTCAAAGGCTATTTGGTGGAACCCTTTTATTTTGCAAGCAGGGAAACTGAGGCTTAAAGTCATAAGCTCATACACCTGGCACTGGGAGGGGCTTCAGAGGCTGTTTAGTGGAACCCTTTCATTTTACTGGGAAGGAAACTGAGGCTTGAAATGATAGGCTCATACATCTAGAGCTGGAAGGAATCTCAGAGCCCATCTAGTGCAACCTCTTATTTTACAGAGGAGGAAACTGAGGCTTAACAGAGACTCTCTAGCTTTGGAGCTAGGAGGGCCTCAGAATACATCTCTTCCAACTGCTCATTTTACAGAAGAGGAAACCTTAGAAAACATTATCGAAGACTCTAAGCTTCTATTTCCTCACCTGTAAAACAAGGGGTTTGGGCTAGATGTCTTCCGGGGTCCCTTCCAACTCTAGCTGTAGGTTCGAGGACCACAGATTTAGGTCCAGAAGAGGTCTCAGAGATCATCTCATCCATTCACCTGTTTTGTTTTACTTTATTTGATTTCATTAATTAACAAGCATTTATTTTCTCTTCATCTCTTCATTGTTTAAAAGAAAAAGAAAATTCTTGTAACACATATCTACAGACAAGCAAAACAAATTCCCACATTGTCTCATACTATGTCTTGAATCCATCTTCTTTCCATCAGGAGGTAAGCAGCGTAGTTCATCATTAGTCCTCTGAAATCAAGCCTGGTCGTTACATTGATCGGAATCCTTATATCTTTTGTAGTCGTCTTTACAATGTTGCTGACGTATAAATTCTGATACTGGTCACTTCATTCTGCATCAGTTCATACAAGTCTTCACAATTTTCTCTAAAACCAACCCTTTCATCATTTCTTATTACAAAATAGTATTCCATAATTTGTTCACTCATTCCCCAATTGTTGGGTGCCTCTTAGTTTCCAGTTCTTTGCCTCTGCAAAAAGAGCTATAAATATTTTTATACATATGGGTCCTTTCCCTTTTTCTTTGATTGGGATTGTAGGCCTAGTAGAGGTATAACTGGTATAACTACAAAGGGTAGTTTAGCGACTCTTTGGTCATGGTTCCAAATTGATTTCCAGAATGTCTGGACTAAGTCACTGTTACCCCAGTAGTGCATTAATATGCCTGTTTTCCTACAGCCCCTCCATCACTGTAGTTTTCCTTTTTTTTTGTTGTATTTGCCAATCTGGTGGAACAACCGGGTTGCTTTGTCTTTCTCTAATTACCAGTGATTTGGAGCATTTTTCTTTATGACTGTTGATAGCTTCAGTGCCTTCCTTTTGGAAGTGCCTGTTCACATGTTTTGACTATTTCTTAGCTGAAGAATGACTCTTATTCTTATAAATTTGAGGCAGTCCCTTCTATGTCTTTGAATTGAGTCCTTTATAAGAACTTCGCTGTAGTAATTTTCCCCTAGTTAACTCTTTCCCTTCTAATTTTAGCTTCATTGGTTTTATTTATGCAAAAATTTTTAAATTTTATGTAATCAAAATTGTCTATTTTCTCTTCTTTCATCCTCTTAGTCCGTTATTTGGTCATGAACTCTTCCCCATTCACGGATCTGAAAGAAAATTTCTAACTTGATCCTCTAAGTTGTTTATGACGTCACCCTTTTATAGCTAAGTCATGTATCCATTTGTAAGTAATCTTTTTTATGTGCCTTGGTTTACCTTTATTTCTCACAGAACATGACTAAGCTTGAGGCAACTGAAATGTTAATCAAATACTATGGATCATGCTACAAGTATCTTGTCATCTGAGTGTTCTGAGACTAGATGCTTTTCCACAGAGAGCAAGCTTGTAGTCACGGGAATGTTCTCAGAGTGTGTGTCTCCAACCACAAATCTCTTGTCCTCTGAGTGTTATACAGTTAGTTAAGGTGACATTGTTTTTCCTCCTCCTTCCTGGAGATGAGAGGTCCACAGGCATTTCACATTGCATACATTTTCCAAATGCATCAACCAGTTGGGCTGATGTTTTATTTTCCTCCCTCACATACCCCCGTGCACACAAAGGATCCTCAGGCATTGCCCCCTGATTTTACAGATAAACCAAGGCCCACTTGCCCAAGGTCACAGGGGTAAGTGGCAGTGAATGGGGACAGACCTGTGATTTCACAGTGCGTGTCAGCACTGTCTCTATGCCTTGTAGTCTTGGAGAATTGAATTGCCTAGGGCACTAGGTCGGGGGACTTGGCTAGGATTATACAGCCCGCATCTGTGTGTGTCTTTGCCTGTGAGTATTTGCATGTGCTGTGCCCCAGTCACTCTGCAGTGGCCAGACTAAGCTGCAGGCCCAGCTTCCTCCCTTTGTACCACAATGCCATTTCTATTTGCAGGACCTCTGTTTTCTCGTTGATAAGAAGGAAAAAGATGAACCAAAGTGACACTTTAAGTACCTTTCTTCATAACACATTCTCAGTATTTGTTGGTTGGCTTATTAGAGACAGCAAGATTTGTTTTGTTTTGTTTTGTTTTGTTTTTCCACAAATATTTTCAGTAGCCCATAAATGAAAAAAAAATTAATTTTAAACTTTAATTTTAAAAAATCCTGTGTAGAAATTCTGTTAATCATGCAAAGGTAGCAATATTGCTCTCAGAGAGCAGATCATGGTCTGGTGCTGATGTTTCGTATCATTTCTCTAATAGATGTTTACTGTTAACCAGGAGTTCCACTTAACATCTTTTAGAAGATGACTCAGTCCTGATTATACTCCCAATTAATGAGGCAGCTGTGGTGTAGTAAAAAGAAAACTGAATTTGACAATCTGGTTCTGTTACTTGGAAAAGGCAATCTCTGGGCCTCAGTTTCCTAGAAAGCGGTTGGATTAGATGATCTCTAAATTTCCTTTACTTTCTAAATCTTATTATCCCAATGTCAATTTAGCCAATTAAATGAGAATTTTACAGTGATACCATGCAGGTATCATTCACTTATGTTTATGGAGAAGTGTCAAGCATAAATAACCCTGATGGAATTTGGCTCAGATTTTTTTTTAAGTTGCAATATTTTATTCATTGATTTAAAGAAAGTTCTTTCTTTGGATGTGGATAGCAGTTTCCATCATGAGACCTTTGGAGATGTCTTAGATCCTTGCATTGCTGAGAAGGGCTAAGTCTATCAATATAGTCATCGCACAACGTGGCTCTTATTGTATACAACGTTCTCCTGGATCAGCTCACTTCACTCAGCATCAGTCCATACAAGTCTTTCCAGATTTTTCTGACGTCCTGCTCATCATTTCTTATAGCACAACAGTATTCCATTACATTCATATACCACGACTTGTTCAGCCATTCTCCAATTGATGGGCATCTCCTCAATTTCCAATTCTTTGCCAAATGAATTTTTTTTTTTTGGTGAGGCAATTTGGGTTAAGTGACTTGCCCAGAGTCACAAAGCTAGTGAGTATTATGTGTCTGAGGACAGATTTGAACTCAGGTTCTCCTGGCTTCAGGGCCAGTTCTCTATCCACTGCACCACCTAGCTGCCCCCTGGCTCAGATTTTTAAATTGGGTTTGAGATGATTTGGGGTTTGGCTCAGATTTTTAAAATGGGTTTGAGATGTTTTGGGGTTTGGGATTTTTTTTGAGGGGGAGGGTATGGAAGGGGGAGAGTGGTCATTTAAAGACTTTTAACTGATTAGTACCTCTTAAACTAATATTGGGCTACATAAGCCCTTCCATGTTCCATCATCTGAATATGTGGTACTCTGATGACACATTGTCTGTTGCTAATTGTATCTGTTTATGCTGCAATCCACAGTCTTCTGAGTTTGTCCAGAAGATTGTGTTTTTAACTTTGCTTATGTTTTGTTATAGGAGATGAAGCAAGATTCCTCTCGAAATGCTGCCTACACTGTGGACTGTGAAGATTATGTTCACGTGGTGGAATTTAATCCCTTTGAGTGTGGTGATGCAGGAACCTTAATTGCATATGGTGGCAATAATTATGTGGTCGTTGGCACTTGTACATTTCAGGTGAGTGTGCAGTATTACAGCAGTTACTGAAACTAGATGGGGGAAAGTATGCAATGAAAGTCTTAGTAAAGAAATGTCACTGAATTGTTAAATTAGTATAAAGCAAAGTTTATCCCATCTCGTTTAATGGAATTATAATTCTAAGATAGTTTCTGTTCATCTAAACTTAAAAAACAAAAGACTTTACAAATAAATGCACCATGGTGTAGTACACCCAGTGTGCAGATTGTGGAGAAGAAGTATGTCCCGAAGAACTAGAGTAAATTCCTGTTTTTTTCTAAAGTCTTTGGGTACTAGCATATTCTGGCTTTTAATATTCTGATTAAATGAGTTGTCATATGCAGTAAAACCTCCATCAACTGATGCTCAGCAGTAATTCCTTTTTTCTTATGTTCCACTGTCATGAAAGAAAAAAATGGCATGACAAGCTGATAATTGGGATTCATTTAAAATAACTTCCAGGTATAACATAGGATTTGTACTAATTATTGGTCTTAAACACTTACATCTACAGTGCTGAACTATAATTAATGTTCAGAATGAACCCTGGGGTATTACAAGATGTTCAGTCATCAACAATTTGATTGCATCAAACACTCTGTATTTTACAGAAGGGAAGTTGCTTTTATCCTTCTACAAAAAGGCTTAAAACTAAAAAATATTTATGATTAACCTTTTATCAACCAAACTATGCAATTAATCGTTCCAGTTAATTTGTTGCATGGTTTACTAGTTTCCTGAGAACTGAAATGCTTTTAGCATTAAATCTATACTGAATATGATTTAATCTTTCTTTGATTCTAGAGGCACTTTTGGATCATGCAACAATTGAGAATGATGAACATTGCTTATTTTTACACACTTCTGTAGCTTTCTCTAGGAAGTATAGGAAGTATTCGGGCTAAATCTATACTGATGTTGCATGATTCCTTTAAAAAAGTTAAGACTTAGGGACAGCTAGGTGGTGCAGTGGATAGAGCACCAACCCTGGAGTCAGGCAGACCTGGGTTCAAATCCGGTCTCAGACCAGACACTTGGCACTTACTAGCTGTGTGGCCCTGGGCAAGTCACTTAACCCCAATTGCCTTCAAATAAATAAATAAATAAATAAAATTTAAGAAAAGGTTAAGACTTAGCTGATCTCTGGGTGATCCAAGAGAGCCATACCAAATTGTCTTGTATCAGGAGTGGGATACCCTAGGCCAGGGGTGGGGAACCTGTGGCCTCGAGGCCACATGTGGCTTCAAGGCTGATCTCGTCAGGGTGTTGACTTCATCAGGCCCACCAGGTGACAGCAGCCAGCTGATTGGAACCAAATGGTAAGCTCATGGTTAGCATCATGCAAGGGCACTGAATTGAGATAAATTGTTGTAAGGCAAATAGTAAACTTTTTTTTTTATCCTAATGCAGGCTGCTCACCCCCGGCAGGGAGGGGAATCCATTCAGAGTCACAAGTTATATATGATATGATGACATATTTTATGTATATGTATTATATGCTCACGCATCTTGCTTTTAGAAACTAGGAGGGAATATGAAGTATTGTACAAAAAGAACAATAAATACTAAGGAATATCTTTCAGTTCCATATTCAGTTATTGGAAGAGTAGACTAGAGATTGGATGTTTTTAAAAAATGTGGGTAGAGGGAAGGGCAGAATTCAATAGACAGGAATTTGGAGGGAGGGAAGCTGAACAGGTACATGAGGAAGAGGGAGCAAGATGGTTAAAGAAACAGGAAAAGGAAAGGAGGGAGATGAACAGACCCATAGAAAGAAAAGAAAGGTAGAGGGGAAAATTAAGAAGATTCTGAGTAAAAATGACTAGAAACAGGCCATTCCCCACTATGTAGGTTACTCCCACTTATTTGGAATTCTTATTAAATGATTAAACTCTGTGGAGGTTGTCAGGTTCCATACCACCCAATAAAATGTGATGTGCATGGAGATTACATAGTAAATACAAACTGATAGACAATCTTCACTTTATGGCATGTTTCTGCCTAGGATGGAGACACCTTGGGAATTTCTGTCAACTTGAATTCCTTATCTGTGACTTGGACAAGTCACTTTGACTCTGAGCCTTCAGTTTCCTCCTCTGAAGGTTCAATTAGCTAATCTTGAATATCCTTTTTTGTTCCAAAGTTATGATGCTCTGGTTCTTACTTTTCCACCAACCAACAATGGCTTCCACATCACGTACAGTGGAAATATACGTTAGCAGCACTTTGTCTAGTTTTCGAAAGCAGGTTGTCTCAATTTCCTGTCTATGCAGTAACATGCAATCCCACATTAGCCTCAAAATAGCATCCCTCTCTGCCCCACCACACCCACCCGTCCTTTTAGCTGGCTCAGGCCACTGCCAGGAATAAGCTTCATTGGTGACACATGATTGCGTAGACTATGTAGTCGTTAGGTTTTCTGAGGTTTTTTTCCATGAAATTCCATGTGTTAGTTTGGTAACAAATTACAGTGAGTAATTGTCATATGTACTTTTCCAGTATCCGCAAAATTGTATTTTGATCTAAAAACATGTAGGATTCATTTTTCATAAGATTGATTAGTGAAGTGGAGAAAACTAAAAATAATCTGAACTCTAAAAAGTGAGGTATTGGACTCCCTAAATTATTTTTAAATTGTTTAGCAGGTGTCCCTTGACAAATTGAGATGTCAGCTGAAGTTATACATCTATGTGTACATATGTGAGCCATAAAATTCTAAAACCTGATGTGTTTCTCTCCTTGACAAATTGATTACCATTCCTTTTGTTTTTAAGGAAATGATTTGGTGTTACTCTGAAATAATCTAAAATTATAATCCTTTTCCAATGATGGAAATAAATAAGTGTGAGGGAGCATTCTGAGTGAACGTCTTGATATCCTAGTGTCTTGTGGCTGTCCTGGGGAGGCCTGGAAGGATTTGCAATAGATATATAGAAAAACCCAGCAAAAACAGTTTGAATTTAATCTGAGGGAAGTTCTTAAATTGGCTTTAGAGAAATAAAGAGAATATTCAAGTAGAGTGCCCCTAGAAAATACCAAATCCTGCATTTTCTGAGTATATTTTATTATTGACCCTGAAATTTTGTGAGGTTTTGGCAGAGGAATGCTTCTTTGCCAGGATGGATATGATGTGCTCTGGTGGAATAATCTAAACTTAGTTTGTTCAAAGCAGTGAAGGCATTGACTAACTTCTTAAGGTTTTCTCTTTTATACATTTCTTAGAATAACATCTCAAACCAGTTCAGTAATACCCGCCCAGTCATGGAGTTTCCTTGTAGCAATCAATTAAATCTAATTAAATACCTCTTGTACAGATTCCAACAAATAACCCAAATAACAAGAATTTATATATTCTTTACTTTTTGAACCAGGAAGATGACCTGTAAATAACTAGTATCAGGAATATGGTCAAAAAAGCACTTCTCAGATGAGCTTGAGCAGGAGGGGAATGATTTATACTCAGGTTCCAAAGAAAACCAGAATTAAGTCCTAGATTCCCTGGGGAGGAGGGGCAGCACAATGATGAGTATGCCGTAGGAATAATGACTTCTTAGAAGTGCACACATCCTTACTTTCAGAAATTTTTACTTTTCAAGATAAAAAAAGCATTTCTTTTGTGATCCCAAGTATTCTTCTGACTCTACAAAGCTTCCTCAAGTCACCCAATTGCCTTATACCCTTTGAATGTTAATTCATTAGAGCTGTTCACAATAATAACCCTGAAACACTACACAATGATGAAATGTCTCCCAAATAATAAATTAATTGTTTGAAGCCTAATTTTTTGTTAACAGAGTACTCAGGTATGGTAACTCATTTAACAAAAAATTCCATTCTCCCTGTTCTTGTTCTTGACATGTTAAAGAATCTATTATAATATTAAAAACAAAAATTTATTAGCTAAGAAAAATGTGATATGATGATTTATTTTGGTCATAATGTTTGGTTTATCTTAGATTGTCTCATTCATGTACTTAAAAAAGATTTTTCATCTTGAAACGAAATGCATCAGACCTTTCTCTCTAATGGTTGTATAACTGTGCCTTGCTCGCTTTAGGAGGAGGAGGCAGAAGTAGATGAGATTCAGTATAGAACACTGAGAACATTTCACCACGGACTCAGGGTTGATGCCATAGCTTGGAGCCCAGAGACCAGGCTCGATACTTTGCCTCCAATGATCAGGTAAAGTGAAGTGAATTAGATACCAGAATTACTGGTGTGCCGATTTGGGATGAGTGACTGCTAGGTCCTTGGGTTGGAGTCCCTGCTCTGTGGTTTTAGATAAGTTGCTTGCCTTGTCTGAGCTGAAGTGGGAATTACACGGGCACTCCTTGGGGGAGATGCTTTGTCCAGCTACCGATGCCATCTAAATGGATGTCATTTACTGATGATACTGACCAACACCAAATGGCATTTGAACAGCATGGTGAAGAAATCAATGTCTTTGGACCAGTTCCGTACCTTTCTAACTAATGCTTAGCTTTAGTTTGTCCTCAAAAGCTTTCATATCTCATCAGGCTCCACTTTCTGGTGATCCCGGTAGAGGGGCTTCTGTTCATTGCCATAGGACCATAGATTTAGAATTGGAGGGATCTCAGAGGCCTAGGAGGGCAGGGTCTTCTGCATGAGGACCTGGGCCCCAGAGTGGGTATGACATGCCTAGGGTCACTTATGAATCCACTCTCCACTTCTCTGCCTCATACTGATGACAGCTTATTACTTGACCATTGACACATTTTTTTGGCAATGTTCTTTTTTTTTAAATCTTTTAATTTATTTTTAGTTTTCAACAATCACTTCCAGAAGCTTTTGAGTTTTAAGTTTTCTCCCCCTCCCTCCCTACCTCCTTCCCCATGATGGCGTGAAATCTGATATAAGCTTTACATGTACATTCCTATTAAACATATTTTCACATTACATTGACACATTTCTGTTTCAGCCACAAGTTACTTTACTTGAACTGTTCAGCCTAATTAAGAGACAGCCTGAGTTTGCCTTTCTGGCCCTTTCCCGTGCTCTCTTCTTGGTCGCAGGGATGGTTTCATTTGTGTCTCTGAGTGCCTGATACTTGACACAGTATAGATGTTTAATAGATGATGGTTGGTTGGTTAATTGAGTTTCACAACAATCCTGTGAAGGACTTAGTTGTAAATGTTATTGTGCCCATTTTACAGATTAGAAAATTGAAACTCGGAGAAGTTAAGAGTGTTCCACAGATGTAATGAGTTGTTGAGCCCTAGGATACTTATGCAGGTCTTCTGACTTTTAAGCACAGACTTCCTGAAGGTTAAGGTTTCTATAACAGTTTTTCTCTTCATTTTGTTTTGTTAACAAAAAAAAAAAAAAAAAAAAAACAAGCCACTCACCATTCTCCTCTTTGTTGTTGGCTGGCTTTAGTTGGAACTCAGTTGAATCATGATTCAAAGCATGCTGCTTTTCAGCCTCTTGATCCAAGCCACAGTTTCTTTACAAATTGTCTTACTGGTATGTTCCTTTGAAAAAACTTCTTTTCTGAAAGAGCATATGTATCACTTACAACTAAATATAGTGTTTGAAAGAGTTGTTGAACAGAGAATTAAATATGTTTCATTATAGTTTCACTTTAGGACAGGAGGATATAATCTAGTTCTCTAGATTCTAGAGGTTCCTCTGAGTGTGGAAATCCAGGCATGCCCATCCTCAAGACTTAGGGGGAAGGCCTAGGGGCTACCACCCAGTTTTTTCCCTCCGCAGGAGCTCATCCTTCTTCCATCTGCTCCCCCACTTTTTACTCCTCATCAGTTCCACACGCTGTCATCCTGCCAGTGAGGGAGGGCTGGGAACTGCACTGGGTGACCATGGCCTAAATTAAAAAGGCTTGGCTTAGTTTTTAACCTAGATCAAGTGAGATTTTTTTCCTTCTTAAAAATTGTTTAAAATATTGCATTTGTGGGGGCAGCTAGGTGGCACAGTGGATAGAGCACCGGCCCTGAAGTCAGGAGGACCTGAGTTCAAATCCAGCCTCAGACCAAACACTTGACACTTACTAGCTTTGTGACCCTGGGCAACTCACTTAACCCCAATTGCCTAAAATTAAAAAGAATATATATATTGCATTTGTGATCATATCAGCAATTCAGTAAAAAAAGGAAATTGCTAATATCCAAGTATTATCATTATCCTGGTGGCTAGGACAGCATTCGTCTGCTCAGTTAACAAATAATTATTTGGTTAAGTTGGCTTTTTGTAAATACGATAATCAGGTTGTTTTGTGTGTTTGGAAAAAAATAAGAAATAATCCCTGATTTGCGTATGTTGTGAGTACCTTTGTGGGAGGCCCCTCAATGCCAGGGGTCCAGTGCTAGGCTGGAAGTCAGGAAGACCTGGTTTTGTGTCCTGCCACTGATATTAATGTAGATGACCCTGGCCGAGTCACTTGACCTCTGTCTGCTTCTGGCAGCCCGCTAGGGCTTAACTTGATTTTTAGGAACTTAATGATCTTTAACAATCATGAAAGTTATACTATACCAGAGGGAAAAAAAAATAGATTATATATGAAACCATAAGCTTGTTAAGGATAGTTGTTTTTTAAGCACGTATTCAATTTAGCAAGTTAATAACAGAATTAGTCCTTCTAGATTTTTTTCTATGTAGACATATCTATTGTTAGAAATAAAATCTCCAGGCAATTAGGTGGCACAGTGGATAGAGCACTGGCCCTGGAGTCAGAAGGACCTGAATTCAAATCTGGCCTCAGACACATAACACTCACTAGCTGTGTGACTCTGGGCAAGTCACTTAACCCTGATTGCCTCCAAAAAAGAAAAAAACAAACAAAAAAAGAAAGAAAATCTCTATTATATTTGAGTTCTGAAAAGTTTTAAGGTATTTTTTTGTAGGAAAAAAATTAGATTATATGCGTTGAGTCTTCCTGACTAATAATTATACTTTTGTGTCACATTTTATCATTGTTTAACCTCCCGGCTCCTATATTTAGCTTTTCATGCATTTATAAATTGTCTTCCCAGCTAAATTGTAATTCCTTTAAAACAGACTATATCTTACATTTTTTATCCTTCACAGCCTTTAGCACTGACTGCTTTGTAGTCAGTATTTTATTGAATGGAAAATAAAGTTTATAATGTCTGCTGAGTTTGTTTTTTGTTTTTCTTTTATTTCATTTCTAGTGACCATATATATATATTTTTTTTCCTCAGATTTTGTACTGCAGCTGCGGATAGGAAGTTGAGACTATTCACTTCAGATCTTCAAGATAAAAATGAATACAAGGTACACAGTCATAGATTTAATAATATATAGATCTACAAGCCTTTACAAATTCTTGATCTGTATTTGTTTGCTTGTACAATGTAATCTATGCAGTTTATTGAGTAGTAGAATGCTTACTGTTGAAAATATTGTACTTGTATTATCTGCCTCACTGGATCGTTTGAGCAAAATACTTCACCAACTGGAAATGTTTCTTACCTGAGTTATTTTTTTTAATTGTTATTAGTAAGAAGCAGAAGTATCCAAAATAATTTCTTTAACCTTTAACCTGTGCTCTAAGTTGGGATCATTCTTTAGTAAAATGGCAGCTCTGGAGTGACTTCACTTGTGGGGTTTGGAGAAGCTCAGCCTTCTCATTATCTTCTCCGCATGTGTTCTCTTCCACGGCCCTCTAGAAATCAAAGGCAGCCTCCAAGGAGGGCATGTTCAGTGCAGTGATTGGCCTTCGAGCCCTCAGACAGGCTTAGTCCCAGCTGACAGGGCTCCTTCCTTCCAGGTTCTTCCTGCTGTCACAATAAGGGCAGTCCCTGCATCATTGAGAGAATGAGTAAGGGAGCAGAACAGCAAAATGGCCTTTGGGACGGCCAGAATGTCCCCAGAACACATCTCTCTCAGAACATGATTTTGTCATCTTCCACAGGAAGTAAAACAGAGACAACAGGAGGTTAGGTAGGAGGAAAAGAATGGAGCATCTCCATTTTAACAAGTGCTCCACGTTTGAAAATCAAGACCCAGCTACTAGCAGTGTGGAACTGTCAGCAGGTTTCCAAGATAGACTGTGCAGAAAAGTGTGTGTGTATGTGTGTCATGCTTGTAAAATATCATATTGCTTAAGAAGTGTTTCTAGAAAACAGTCACACACACAGTAGAGGTTTTTCAGGCAAGGAAATGAAAATAGAAATGGAATTTTTTTCTATCATGTTTTTGTTATTTTTTCCCTATGACAGGTTTTACCCGGTCATTCAGATTACATCAATGATTTGGTGTTTGCCCCTAAAGAAGGCCAAGAGATTGCAAGTGTGAGTGATGATCATACATGCAGGTAAGTCGTATTTCTACAGTGAAACTGTATTTTGATAATCAAGAGGCAGGGTGTGTAGTGGTTAGATGCCTGGTCTCAGAGTCAGGACTCCTGATTGGAGGACCCTGGCAGCTCATGTAGCAGCTCAGGGCAGTAAACAAGGATTTCTCACCAAGGACTCCCTCTAGAAAGAGATCACTATTCCTGCCCCCATGCCCAATAAATAAATAAATAAAATTTAAGAGAATTACGTGGAAAACTGTAGGAAGCAAAAAATATACACTATACAGAATAGAGAAAATGCAGTTTAAATCTTTAATACCTAATGGGTGCAAAGCATTCATATTGAATAATTTCTGTTGGAATTGGGGTATGCATGCATATTTCAGAGCCAGCAATAATGAGGTCTATTCCTAACTAACGTATACTTCCTGTTTGCTTCATGCAAGCCACTTTCCCTGTATGGTAATCTTGTTTGAGATCTCTTTGTTTGAGATATATATTTGAGTTATATAAAAGTGCTCAAAATCTCCACTTTTTTTGTAAGGTCAAAAAGATAATGAAAAGCTATATCAAAGTTGGTTAGGAACCATTCTTTTAAAAAATGAAATTTGGGTTTGAAAATGAACTGTGACTATTTTTTTAATTAAAAAAGTGCCACAAATTCATTCATCATTGTATTCTAAAATTTAATATGTGAGGCTTTCTGTGTGTAAGTAGATATGGTTCACTTAAGGATAATGTATTTTGTTCAGGGTTACATGCTGATGGGGTACGAAATGCTAATAATTCTAAAACCTGTGAATATCACAGATAAAAATGCTAAAAGAGGAAAAGTAGGAAGGTGGAAGGAAGATGTAAAGGGGGGAAGGATGGGGTAGGGAGAGAATTGAAATGAGAAGGATTAACTCATAGAGAAGAACTAATTTCCTTAATGATAAAATGACTTAACTTTTTATAAAATTTATATCTTACACAATTTTATTGTAAGATAATGTTTGGTGGTGAGATACAGATTTATGGAGTTATCCACCTGCATTTAAAATGTGAAATATCTATTCATGTTAGCATTAAAGTTTCTTTTTTAGTTTAAAATTTTCTTCTGCTTTCTTCAAATAATTTATGTTTTCTAATGCCATCAGTAACTTTTTTAAGTTGTAGAAGTAAGACTCATTGTGTATTGCATTATATATATTGGCATTTTCATGTTAGAAACCCAAAAGATTTAAATGTCATTAAAATTTCTTTCTGACTATGTACTATTATCATTTTTGTCCTGATCACATCTTCATTGACTGTCCATTACAAGTGTGGTGTTTCCTCAGGAAAGACATAAGGCCAGGGTGGTCAAAACTCGAGCGAGTCCTGAAAAGCAAGTTTGAAAGCACTGGGCTATGAGGGGAGGAGGCTTGGGTTTGGGGTCCTGAAACCTGGGTTCAGGTTAGACCTTTGCATTTATGAGCTGAGGAAAGATATTTAACTTGTCTGACTGTGTCCTGATCTGTCAGGCAGGCATCATCAGACTCATACTGGCCACCTCAGAGGGCTACAGGGAAGACATTTTGAAAGTCATGAGTGCTCTGAATGCTGCACGTGTAGACATTACACAACCTCACTTAAGACAAATGCTTAGTTGTTCAGAGGTCAGGCTCAGCAAATTGAAGCCTCTAGACTAGCCCTGAAGCTGGCAGGCTCGGGGTAAACAAGCCCTCTCTCAGGAAAGAAACAGTCAGCAACAAAGGGAAAGGCTGGAATCCAGTATTGGGAGATCACGCCCAGTGAGCTGTGGGTGCACTCAGATGGGCCAAGCCTGTTAGCAGGAAAGCCCAGCTACGTTGGCAGGGCCTCAGGGAGCAAGCCAGCGATCAGGGCCGGTGGAGAAGAGAGAAGTAGACAGCAGATAGCACTCCAACCTGAGACACAGAAGACAGCCGTCCTGCTAGGGGGAGGGCAGCAGCCATCTAAGTTTAGTGTGACGGGTGCAAACGTGACCATGTCAGGGACACTGATTGGGAGGCATTTTCTGCTGTCCCAGGCAGCAGGGGCAGGGAGGGCTGTGTTTCATGAATGAACCAGACCCTGCTCTGTCCTGTCTATGTGACCATGGGGTCTATGCTGTTCTGAAAATGCCTCAGTCACATACCTTTATTTTTAAAAGTTGGAGAGAATGTGAGGGAGATGTTCTGTACTATAAATTCAATAAGGGGCAACTAGGTGGTGCAGTAGATAGAGCACCAGCCCTAGAGTCAGAAGGACCTGAGTTCAAATTCAGCCTCAGGTACTTGACACTTAGCTAGCTTTGTGACCTTAGGCAAGCCACTTAGCTCCAATTGCTTCACAAAAAACTACAGTTTAGTAACAGGTGAACACAGACTATATTAGAATATTATAGAAGAGCTTGCTTTGATGATGACTTCAATACTTAGCATTGATGGTGACCTCACACTTCTTGTTGTCCAAACTTCACCAACTCAGGAATACGGTGCACAGCAGCCAGCGTGATGGGCTGTCATCTAGCCTATGCTTGTGATGGTGAGCTCACTCCTCTCTACGGGGAGCCCTTCCCTTTGTGGGCAGTTCTCATTAGTTCTGCATAAGGAAAGACTTCCTGAAAAAGCTGTACCCTGGAACTTCCATACATTTGTTCTGCTTTCTTTGGCCATGCAGAGCATGTCTAGTTGCCATTCTACAGAAACCCTTCAGGTACTTGAAAAGAATTATCAACTCATGCCCTCCTCCACCCCTCTTCAGATCTTTAGTTTTCCAGGCTCATATCCATAGTTCTCTAAACCAATTCTTGGGTGACTGACTTTAAATTCTCCTTGACATCCCTTCTTTTCCCATAATATCACTTGTCAGTGTCCCTTCCAAAATGTGGTTCCCAGAACTGGAAAGAATAGTCTATATGTGATCTCACCAGAACAGAGTACATTAGGGCCACCCTTCCATACTTCTTTAAATTTGACCTATAATTGATAGCATGACCTTTTCTGTCTCCCACATCAAACTGTAACTCCTGCTGATCTTGCACTACCATAAAGATACTCTGCCTTTTCATATGAACAGTTTTCTGGCCGTACCCCAAGAGTCCTGCTGACTTTTTTTTAGCCCAACTGCAGGATTTTGCATTTATACCTATTAAATTTCATCTCGTTATCTTCAGTTCTCTATTTTAGACTATCAAGATCTTTTGAGATACTGATTCTGTCACATCGGCATGTTAACGATAACTAACTTTCTCATCTGCAAAAATGTTATCTCTGCCTTCATCTATGTCACTGATAGAAATGTTGGAACGGGAAATCCTGTGACAGTCCAGTAGCAGGCTCTCATTCCAGGTTGTGCTGCATCCTTTGATCAAAGGGCAGTAGTTAGCCATTTCCAAACCTACCCATTTAGTCATTTCTCTCCCTTCTATTTTTTATAAATATCAAAGAGCCTTTGTTAAATGAGATCCAGCTGTACTGTGTCCCCACCGTTCTCCTAAACTATGATAGTTTAGTCATAAAAGAAAATTAGTTTAGATTAATATGATTTATTCTTTTTTTAATGTAACATGATTTATGTTATTGTGACAATTTTTGACATAACATGAATAAATCATGTGTTTTCTTTTTAAAAACATTTCTTTTCAATTAATGTTTATTTTCTTCCCATCTATTCTCCATTTAAAAAAAAAAGTGAAACAAAACCTTTGTAACAATATGCATAGTCAAGTAAAACAAGTTCCCATATTAACCACGTCCAAAAACTCTATGACTTGTTATGAGTCCATCAGCAGTTAGGAATTGGAAAGTCTGGGTTATCATTGGTCCTCTAGAGTCACAGTTGGTCAATGCATTGTTCAGAGTTCTTGAGCAACTTGGCTTATTCTCAGCGAACCCATGTTGGCTTACTGTGATCTTCCCCGTATAGATGTATTTAAACAGAAGGACAAAGCTCACTGTATTGTAGTTCTTTAAAGAAGATTGTCAAATTCTCTTGAGTGAACAGATCTAGTGCCCAGCATGCATTACAGATAATGGGCATATAAATGTTTAATCTAAAGGAAAAGGGTAAGGCCCAGTGTTCATTGAAAAGGTGTAAATAATTTATAATCAAAGGTAATTTATAGAGCCACGTGTCTTTTCTTTGTATGCGAGAAATGAGACATCATCAAGTGCACATATAATGAGAAAACGTTACCAGTTAAATGATAAGAATAATAGCCCACACAGGAAGTTCCCTGGTACCCTCAAAATACAGAAAAATAAAAACAGGAGGAATGCTTCTTTTTCTGTGAAATAAACAAATGAAAGTTCTCACAGGATTAGAAAGCATGGTTGTTGTCCTTCATTCTTGAAGACGACCAAAATGATGTCCCTTGACTGTGGCTGATCAGACCAATACAAGCGTGGAATGCTCTACCACAGGTCAGGCACGAAGAGTCCATGTGAACATTTGGGGTGGATTCTCTAAATGTGTGCCTCTCTTGTTTCTTCTGATCTATTTCAATTCTGCTTTGCTTATAGAGCACAGCACCTTCTCTGATGAGGAAGCTTGGAGTATGGTTTTGATCTGTGGTGTTGGTGTTTTCCACAACACTGAAATCATGAATTGCATCAAAGTAAATGTATTTTCTGATGACTGACAATATCTAGCAAAAGGCAACTAGCAATTCATAAACCTGCAAAACAATATTATGGATTTTCCAGAGATCTCCTTTCTAAATAATAAGTATGAAATTGGAAGTATGGTATAATAGAGTTAATCTTGAAGTCAGAAGGCCTAACTTAGAGGTTGGGATCAGATTACAAACTTAGACCTGTAAAGTCAGGATGTGAAGCATAATAATCAGTAAACATTTATTAAGCACCTACTATGTGCCAGGTACTATGCTAAAACACTGGGGATACAAAAAGAACTAAAAGACAGTCCCTGCCTTCAAAGAACTTACAATCTAGTAGGGAAACAACATGTAAACAAATATATACAAAGCAAACTATATATACAGGATAATCCATGCTCTTCACCGTAGTTTT